CTACCTTGAAGTTCAAATGGTTTTGCAGTCTGGCACATTAACCCACAGCGCCACACCAGTACACCAGGATGGTGGTGGTTATGTGCCATGGAGTCAGTTCCGACTCATAGGGACCCTGAGGCTATAAATCTTTACTGGAGCAGAAAGCCTCATCTCTCTCCTGCGGTAGTTTCGAACTGCTGACTGTGAGGTTAGCAGCCCAATTCCTAACCACTACGCTACCAGAGTTCCTTAGGACACCAGGATAGAATGCTACAAATTCCTTCCATCTGTCTAGAAAAAAATAGTCATTCCACAATCTATTCTCTCATTTGACATTTTTCTGGGAGAAGCTTATGTTGTTGGCAAATGGTAAAAGTGGCTTTATTTAAAATGGAGACCTGTTTTTCAGTTCTCTCAAGTGCATTTGTGTAGATATATTTGCATTTTCAGTTACTCAAGACTTCTTCCTCACAGGAATCCATCCTTACATTGCCAAAAGTGCAGTCTAGTATTTGTGAGAACAGAAGGGCCCTTCCTTTGATGTTATCTCTGAACAGTTCCAACATAATTGTACACCTGGACATTTTTTTAAGCCATAATTTTCTGAACTTATGAAAGTAGTTGCTTAGCCTGTTGTACCTCCTCTCTTCTTAAAACTCTTCACTTTCCACTTTTTACTGGACACTTTTTAATGATCACTGAATCAATTTGAGAAAAACTTGTGGAATCCAGAAGACCAAATTGCCAATAAAAAATGCTTAAACTCTTTTTAACCACTATTCCTATCATCATCTTAGAAAAAGGCTAACATTTTTGTAGAAGGTGTAACCATCGTGATAGCTCAGGGTGGATCAAGATATTTGGAGAAGGAACTAAACTCATAGTAACTTCTTCTGGTAAGTAACATTTTTTGTTCTTGTTGTTGGTTTTTTATTCTCTCCTATTTTTGCTTCTGGTCATGAAAACTGTTGGATGCTTTATAGAAAAAAGCAAATTAGGATCAATTCTGATCTGGCTGCTATGTCTTCTTGTCCTCAGTATATGAATGGAAATTTTGCAGCTACTAGTTACTAGATATGAAAAGATAACAAGTTTGTAAATGGTTTCTTTCCTTTCCTCTCTGTAGGAAGATTGAAATCATACTTTAGGGTATTCAAACAAGGTAGACTCAGGCTAGAAATTAAAATGTTTGAAGATCATGTCTGTAAACTATAGCTGTAAATTACTGGTTTAAAATACTTTTCTTATAGGAGCTCTTTTAAGTGAGCAGTATCAAATTTTATTAATTACCTCCTTTCTATAAGGAGTTCTGGTAATGTAGTGGTTATGAATTGGCCTGCAAACCGCAAGGTCAGCAGTTCGAAACTACCAGCTGTTCCGCGGGAGAAAGATGAGGCTTTCTGCTCCCGTAAAGATTTACAGCCTCGGAAA